TAGTGTTTTCTCACACTACTGGATAACTCCGTTGTGCAAACTAACATTAGGCAGAATGATTACTGCGTCTATTTCTTCCTTTCCAATCTATTAGTGCGCTTCACAAAATTCTAATCGTTTTAGAATTCTTTTTTTTTCCTAAACGATTCAAGAACATCATTCAAACATGGATGACTGCTGGTGCTGATATAGCATAGTTCTTTTATACAATTCAGGCAAAAAGTGTAACTCTTATAAGTATAGAGAAGACATGATAAAAATTTCGAGCACTCTCATCTTTTAAAGAGTGTTCTTCTTTAACCAACAATTAATGTCATACTTAAACCACTTGACTATAATCTTTTGGGCCTAACAACCTCTTCAGATATAAATAGGCGTAAATTTTTTCTACAACTGAACCCAAATTATTAGAACACCATGGTAGCTTTGTCAGTCTTTGTCTCTATTCCCAAGCATAGCGATTTCTTTATTATTAATAGTGGAGTGATGCACGTCAAAACCGCGGTCAGGTGCTAATGCGCAAACATTTTCTAACGGTTACACAAAATGTTGAAAAATTAGCGTTTGCAAAGAATCCTATATCTTAGTAAATCTTACCATTGTCCATGATTAAATAAAGAAATTATGGCATCTCGCGTTTTGCAGCAAGGTTGTTCAAATCCCAAAAAAGAGCTCAGCTCAATATCTCGATATACAGATTCTTGAAACTTATTCCAATGCTTTGTTTGGCAGTGTAGGATACATTTCTAATTGTACAGAAGTTCGTAACAGCGGTAATATCGCGCAGGCGTAATTTTCAATGGCTTACAATTTTTTGAGTGGCTCTCGCGGAATTGGCCACGAACAGCATATTTCATCTTGGTGGTGATGAAAATTGGCACTATTTTTTGCTAAATGGTCGCATTTCGCATGAACACGCAAATCCATAGGGTAAATTGATCTACCTATTTAGCCCGAAATCAAGTGCGCAAACCTGCCTCGAAGCCATCGCAGACAGTCGCTTCTCTTTTTCCTCATAGATCTCGAAGAAGACTGTACTTCCTGAGAATCTCAGCCAGAATGAAAAGTAGCATGCACTTTGTAATTGTGAACAATCACTTGATTTAAACTACTGCTTTTGCTTGTTATGTCAAAACTTCAGAACATAGGCGACTTTGTGCAATCGCGCGTACAAGCATGGAATGGTAAGAACAAAAGAAGTCTAGCGATGATAGTGTCCAATCAGTTGGAATATCCGGTAAGAAATTTTCCCAAAACGAAAAGAAAGAGTTTTCATGTAATCCAAGATTGAATTCTGTTTTCTTTTAGCAGAATCAACAATATATCATTGTTGAACACGTGTTCATAACAGAGATCGACAATGCTTACGGACTTTTGCCAGATATTATCGAAGAGGCTGGTTACTCAAAGTACCTAGTGCCATGTCAGGTCAGCAACTCTACTTCCCTCCATTATCATGTTCTATGCAACATAATATAATCGTATTTGAGTTTTCTTACCGTTTCCAGCTCGCTGATGCGGCGCGTCTACCACTTTGAGAGACATGCAACAAATTTAACTCATTTTGCACTAAACACTGCTTCTTTGATCATAAAATTACTCTATACGTGAGATGTAATCAATTTGAGAAAGCTGGCCAAACACCATGCGTTTAAGGGATCCTTAAATATTTATTGAAGCGACTAATGTACAAGGAGGCTCAGCAAACGAGAAAATTGAGCAACTCACGAAAGGAAGGAAAGATACTACAAATTGTATTGTGTAAAACAAAAACTAATTTGCAAAAAAGTGTTCTTACATTTAAAAATCATTTCAAAACGATGTATGAAAAAGTTGATGATTATA